TCCCGCCTGGGAGAGAGAGAGAGAGAGAGTTAAAGAGGAGAGGGAAGGAGGGAAGGAGAGGGAGGTGTACGTGTCCCAGGCCCAAACCCAAGCCGTCGGGACTCCGCCCCCGCCCTCCCCCCCCCTCCCCCCCCTCCATGCACAAACTTCACCGATACACCCACACTTCAATTCGAATCCATTTAAACCATAAAGTAGGATTCATCACCAACAGCTTGGCAAAGAGAGGATAAGCGCATGGCATCGCCACCGAGAGTAGAGTCGTAGAGTCGTAGAGTCGTATCGCCTTCGGCTCATCAGTACTCGTCGGCGCCGCTGCCTCCCTTCTCCTGCTTAGACTTGAGGTAGAGCTCACGGAGCTCAGCGAGACCCTCCTTATGATGCTTGCGAAGAGCCTTGGCATCAGGCTTCTTGCCGGCTTCATCGTAGGAAGCCGAATCGGAGCCATCCTTGGCCTTGGACTTGGCCTTGGACTTGGACTTGGACTTGGACTTGGACTTGTCCTTGGACTTGGACTTGCCCTTGGCTTTGGACTTGTCCTTGTCTTTGTCCTTGGTCTTGGACTTCTCCTTGGACTTGGACTTTTCCTTGGACTTGGCCTTGGACTTGGCCTTGGCGTCGCCGTCGGCCATCGACTCCATCTTCATGGCCTCCATGCGCTTCTCGAGAACGGCGTACGCCTGCTCGCCGCCGTACGAGACGGCGCCGATGCCATCACCGGCCTTCTTGCGCCCGGTGTTTCCATACGACAAGGCACCGGCGCCCGACTGCGATGAGGTCGACGAGACAGAGTTCGAGTCCGAGGCGTCAAGGGCAGCCTCGAGCGAAGGCGCCGCGCCTTCGAGCCGCGCCCGGGTCTCCTGGATGAACGGCAGCTCCAGGATCTGCTTCATCGTCGGCCGCGAGTCAACGTCCTTCTTGAGCATGAGCTTGATGAGCGACCGCAGCTCACGCGAGTACCGCGACGGTGGCTTGGGCGTCGGCTCGCGGCAGATTGCCTCCAGCAGACCCTTGAGGGACTCACCGTTGAACGCGTTGCGCAGCGAGCAGAGCTTGTAGAGCAGGCACCCGAGCGACCACACATCGTTCTTGTCAGAGTACGGCACGCCACGGCAGACTTCCGGCGACATGTAGTACGGTGTCCCAAGTCGTGTAAAGGCCACCGCTTGCGTTGTCGACAGGATCGTCGTCAGTCCAAAGTCGCCCAGCTTGCACCGCTCGCCAAACATGAATACGTTCTGCGTCTTGACATCGCGGTGAAGGATTTTCATCTCGTGTGCATATGCCAGTGCGTCGGCAAGCTGGATGAAAATCGAGAGCACCATGTCCTCGTCGATGTACTCGCGGATCCGCCGGTGCGACTTGATGACCGACTCCAGATCCCCCGACGGCGCATACTCCATCACAATCACCAAGTTCGAGTCATCCACAAACGACTCGATGTACTCGATGATGTTCGGATGCTGGAGTGTCGACATGGCCGTCACTTCGGCCATCGCATGCTACTCACAGCGACCCCCCGCGTCCCCACACACACACACACATACATACACACACACACACACACACACACACACACACACACACATGCATATTCCACACATAAGTGATACTTATCATCCCATCCGCACACTCACACGCCCCCTCCTACCCTCCCACCCTCCCCCTCCAACCTTGCCCGCACCGAACAACCAGCCAGCCAAGCGTACCTGCACATCCTTGAGCTTGAACTCGGACATATCGACGATCTTGATGGCCATGACCCGACCATGGGGATCCTAACCCCTCGCAACCACCAGCCCATGCCCATTTCCACAGTGTGTGAGTGCCCTTCCGCACATAGCCATGCCCTTCCCCACTCCCCGCGTGACGCACAGAACACCCGCAAGGGTTTTCAAAAACTGCTCCGTTGCTGACACACCCGCATGGCCTCCAGCCAAACGTCCTCATATCGTTCGGCTAGCCTTCCCCCCTCCCCCCATTTCCCGCTCTGGAATCATATCTAGCAGCTGTGCGCACTGAGAGACGGAACATACATCCTTGCGCACGCATGTGTAGACGGTACCCGAAGAACCCGAAGCAAGGTTGTCAAGGAGAACGTAGTCGTTGAGCGAAATAGACTCGGTCGCCATGACAACTGCCGCGAGGAGTGGTTTCCCGCAGCGAGGGAGTGGCTCTGCAAACTGGCGACTCGACAAAACGGAACAATATCATCCATGCGGATTCAACAATCGTTGGTGCAAAGCCAATTTGTGCCCGCCTTTGCCGCACCGGACCTGTCAAGCACACCTGCTACCTCGTAGACCCATGTGTGCGCCGCCACCAGCACAAAGAAGAGCTCGGACAAGTTGTGTGCACTTGGTGGGCCTTGCCGCAACAAGCCGATAGCGTCGATGTCAACTTCCAAACTCCAAGCCCGCGGCGGCGACCAAGCGCTACACTACGGCCTGCAGAGGTCAGCCAGGGAGGCGCGGGTGAGCTCCAGGCCGCCGTCCGCGGCGATGGAGGCGAGATCAAACTCGGGCGCTTCTGAGCGCGGAGTCGGAAGTGCGCTGGCAATCGAGCGCATGCTCGGCTTGGAGCCGCCGTTGAAGTGAAGGATGGCCGGCTTGTGACCAGTCAACTTGTTGGTCAAGTCGTTGTGTAGATCAGTCTGCGAGAGATGGAGGCACATAAAAAGCCACGTCGCGGTGTCAAGCACAATCGGCGAGTCGGTGACGCCCGGAATCCGCGCAAGGTACAGATCGGAGATGATCTCCTGGTCGTTGGCCCCGTCCGGCGCGGCAGCAAGCACGTCCGCAACCAGCGCCATTAGCCGCTGCGCGCTGCGCACAGTCCCAGCCCACATGCCCGAATTGACATACCGGTACGGAGTGGGCGAGGTCGGATAGACAACTTCACACAGCTCCTTGCCCTCGGGTCGCCCATCCATGTACGGCCAGCACCCACGCTCGCCGGCAAAGAGCACCACATCGCCCAGATCAGCCTCGCGGGCGTACTGCGCCATCGCCGCCACGTACGCCTCCTGAAGAACGTCGACATTCTCGACAAACAGCACATCGTACGCGTCGACAAAGACAAAGATGTCGTGCGGCGGAAGGGCTTCCAGCGCGAGCTGCACGCCCTTGAGCTTGTCGGCGAGCCCGGTCCACCGCGTGCCCCAGCCCAGGATCTGGAGCGGCACTCTTGCGTGCCATGCCGAGCTCAGCGCCTTGCAAAACAGATCGTCCGAGCCACGGTGGGTGGCGTAGGTAAAGTAGTGGAACTTGGCCTCGCCGCTCTCGTCGTTGTTGTCGCCACCACCAGCATCACCACCGGCGATGCTGCCCGGCAACTCATCGCCACCCACAGCCACATTATCATCGTCCGCGACTCCCCGGGCAGCAATCTCCGAGTCGCTCGGTACACCAGGCCCGGGCTCAGCGCCGTCATCGCCAAGCTTTCGGCTTCGAGCACCCCGCATCTTCCCCGCACCCGCACCAGCCCCACTCGCAGATCGATCCAGCGCCGAGTCTAGCAAGTACAACGAAAATATGACCGCCACAACCACACCGGCCGCAAGGACCATCAAAGCTGTAGCAACCGAGCATGACGACGATCGGGACGACTGCGATGACGACGATGCCCAGCGTGTGTAGCTCCGTCTCCCGCCTCCACCTCGACTGCCTCCACCAGCCCGCTGTCTCACCTGCGGCAGCATAGACTCTGTTGATTGCCCGAAAGCCAGGAAGAGAGATAGCTCGGGTTGGGTCGAGCGAGAGTGGAGTGATAGTGATGGTGGTGGTGACGGTCGTGACGGTGACGACTGTGTGTGGGTGTGCGTGAGTGGGTGAGGAAGTCGTAACCAGATCCCCCCCCCCTCTACACACGCACACGCACTTCTCTCGTCCCACACCAAGTAGCCTCCACCCCTCCCCAGCCCGCGTGGGGTATGGCAGGAAAGGGCTTCAGCATCGCTACAGGAGCGCTGACTTTTGGCGAAGCTCGGCAGGTGGTGGCGTCGGACGACGACGTCTGCGCCCGATGCGGCGTGTACTTTCCCTCGCCGTCACCGGCTGTTCTTGCTGCCGGTGCCGTCCTACATCCGCACTGCTTCATCTGTGCCGTCTGCTGCACCCGCCTCAAGAACCGCTTCCGCATCACGCAGGACTCTATTCTCCACGTCTGCATCGCCTGCTACGCGGCTGGCAACCACAAGCGCCTCGCCCCGCCGCTCGACAACTCGCCCGTCGCCAATCGCCAGCTTGCCGCCAATCTCGCCCGGAAGCAAGAGGCGCTCCGCAAGCTCCGCGCGCGTTCCGTTTTCCGAAGAGATCGCCGCGCCCGCGAGCATGAGGAGAAGGCCGCCGCCCGCGCCCGCCTCTACGCCCGCGCCTCCTCCCTGCGTCGGCTCATGGACGGCGAGGTCCGGCAAACGGCAAGCAAGCCGTCGCGGACATCCGGCTCCGGCAAACGCCGCCGCCGTCGCAAGCGGTCCCGCAAGTCGTCCAGCAAGCGATCGCCGCATCGTCAGCCGCCGCAGCCGCCCGCAGCCTCATCGCCGGCTCGGCCTCCGCTCCAAGCCTCGCCCTCGCTCCTCCGCGGCATGCTCTCTGTCAACGACATCGACCGCGCAACCGTTGTGTCCGCCTCGGCTCTTGCACGTGAGTCCGCCGCTGCTGACGACCAGGAAAGGCGGGCTATCCGCCGTGAGCACCGTGCCCGGGCCAGCGCCAAGCAGTCTGCTTCTGCCATCGAGGCTGCTGCTGCCTTTCGCCAATCACGATCCGCCGTGGCCTTGGCCGCCAACGGTGGCCCTCGCATCCGATGACCTCCCCCCCCTACGCATACTCACAGACGCGGGCGCATGTGCGCCTTGATTCGCCTTGACTCGCCTCGACAAAGTCTCGTTCATTGAACCCGGCTCCTCAAGCTGCCTGTCATGTCAGCCGGTAGCCTCCCGCAGACACACCCGCACCCACACCCGCACCCACACCCACGGCACACCCAGCCCCCATCTCGCGCTTCCACACTCCTCCACCACCCACCCACATCCAACCGCAACTCCACGAGCTACGAGACCATGTTCTGTGACGGCCCCTGCTGTTGGTCGTGCGGATGCTATGCCGCCAAGACGAAGCTCGCCGGACGGGTGGCTGTCGTGACCGGCGGCAACGCAGGAATAGGTAAGGCGACGGCGCGGGCGCTGGCCAAACTCGGCTTTGGTACGGTGGTCGTTCTGGCTCGAAGCAGAAGCAAGGCTCAGGCGGCGATCAAGGACATTCGTGAGGCGTCATGCGCCTCGGTCTCTACCGATCGCACCACGCTCAAGGCTCGGGTGGTGGACTTGGCCGATCTCGACTCGGTCGCCAACGCCGCCCGCAAGCTCCTCCGCGACCTGGACCGCATCGATGTCCTCATCAACAACGCCGGCATCATGGCCTCGCCCTACGCCACTACTCCGGCTGGCGTCGAGATGCAGTGGGCTACGAATGTTCTCGGCCACTTTGTCCTCACCCTTCTCCTCGCTCCGCTCATGATCGAGACCGCCAGCGACCGCCTCAACCGCTTTCCGCCGCGCATCATCAACCTCTCGTCAACAGCACACTACGGCGGCGTGCCCAACATCGACAATCTGCTCTCGGCCTACCGCGGCGGCGACGCATACACCCCGTGGGGAGCGTACTCGGTCTCCAAGTTTGGCAACGTCCTCCTCACCCAGGCCCTCGCCCGCCGCTTCGAGGCGCTCGGCTTTGGTTCCACGATCCAAGTCGCCTCGGCCCACCCGGGTGTCATTCGGACCGGGCTTTGGCAGCATCAGTCGATCCTGGCGTGCCTCATGTGCCCTTGCACGCTCAAGGGCGCCCGCGACGGCGCCAAGCCGGCCATCAACCTCGCCCGTGCCGATGCCATCACCTCGGGCGCATTCTACATGCCGACTTGCTGCTTTGTCACCTCGATTGGCTCCGACGACGCCACTTACTCGGTCACTCGCCAGGAAGAGGTGTGGAACGTGCTCACCGCTCAGGCTCGCCACACCTTTGGCGTCGAGCGCTGGACCGATCTCACCGCCAACAACCTTCTCCTGCGGCCGCCGCCGCGCGGCTCGTCGTCGCAGTGGTCTTCGACATCATCTGATCCGTCGACTACATGCGAGACAACACCTGTCAAGCGCCGTGGCCGCCGGCGCAAGTCATCGCGCGCCCGCTCGCCGTCAACCTCGTCGCCGTCGTTGGGCTCAGCCGCCTCATCCGCGATCTCGTCGCGCTCGTTCTCGGCCTCGTCGTCAACCGACACCCCGTGGTGGACCGGCGTCAATGTCAGCGCCGGCGTCGACGCATGGCTGGCGCACGCTGCTGCTATCGGATACAACCACTCGCAGACGGCGTGCGATGGCTGCTGCCTCATCCCTCACATGCTCCCGTGCTGCTGCTACAACTGCTGTTGATTTGACATGTGTGGGCTCTGCACCTACTACCGCGTGGACGTGTTCCACTGGTCCCAGTACGCTTGGGTCGGCTGGTTAGTGTACAGCTTGTTGTTGATAAACTCCTGGCGCTGCCTTGCCTCGGCGGCAAGCTGGGCGTTCTCGCCCGAGACCCGCTCGTTGACAGCGCGGCGCTCGCGCTGGTTCTGGGCCTCGAGCCGCAGCGCCGCGCGCCGGTTGGCCTCGGCCTGCAGCTCCCAACGGCGCTCCTCCTCGGCGCGCGCTGCCTCGATCCGTGCCCGCTCTTCAGCCTGCTCGGCCTGAATGGCCCGGATCCGCTCGCGCTCCTCCGGCAGGAGGCCCTTGAATTCGGTGACCACCACACGCCCGGGCAGCTGCGACGCTGCCGCAGCCTTGTACGGGTTCTCGCACAGCAGATCCGAGTTGAGGTTGTTGTGGATCTCCTCCAGGCCCTCGCGGGTCTCGGCTAGCTTGCGCGCCCGCTCGCGCTCGGCCCACTCGGCCGCCAGCGCCGCATTGTAGTCCTTCACCGCCGTCTGCACCGCCCGCCGCGTCCGGTTCTGCGCCTCCTCCATCTCCAGCCCGCGCAGCGTCATCTCTTGCTGCCGGAGCTCGTACAGCCGCTGTGCTTCCTCCTCCTCGCGCTGCTTCTGCTTCTTTTGCGCCAGTTGCAGCGCCACCCACCGTCGCATCTGCTCCTGCTGCGCCTTCCGCCGCTCCTCGCCCGTCAAGTCCTCGCCCTCGAACTTCTGCAGCGACGCCGGTCCGAGTCGCTCGTCATCATCAGCCACCTACACAACAAGCACACCAAGCACACACACACACATCCCACACACACACACACGTACTCAGTCAGTCTCCCCCTGGTCCCTCTTTCCCCCTACCCTACCCTGCTCCCCCGTCCACCCCCGCCCACAGCAGCGGCTAAATTTGAAGGCAAACGGCCAACCAACCGCTCACGGCAGCCAACCGGCAAGTGGGCCAATCCCCCCCCCCCCCCC